AAAAAAAAAAATACCAAACATTAACAAAACAATAACACTACAATATAAATATAACTATAAAATGCTTCTAAATCATCTCTATTTTAATAAATCATTTTTACATTAAAATTCACTTATTATAATACAACAAAATTTAACATTTTAATCTAATTTATTATTTAATTTTAAAAAATTTAATCTACTAAATATTATCCTCTTCAAAATCAATTATCTATAGAGATAATTCATTTAAAACCTTCCTTAACCAATCACTCAAAAAACATAAAAACAAAACATCACATCAAAACAATCATATTTATAATATATATATATATAAACTCATATTAATAAACACACCAAAACATATTAAATTTTTTAATATTTTCTTTTTTAAACTTTATATCATAATTCATAAAACCCACCATAACCCTCCCCAAATATAACCAAAAATACATCCTTAAACACCCCACCACAATCAAACCCCACAATCAATCAATCAATCTCCCAACCCCACATCAAACTCCTCCCTACAAAAACCAAACTATCTATATCTAAATCAATCACCTTCAAAAAAAAATTCAAACAAAAATCCCCCAACCAAACCTAATCCTACCTCATACAACCATACACAAACCACCAAAACATACACACCACCATTAACATACCATTCCCCATCACCCCCACCCCCCAAAAAACCACCTCTACCAAACAAAAACCCAAAACAACAAACCCCAACATACCCACAACACCAACCCCAATTTAACCATACAATCCTCCCCACACCCCACACATTCCAAACTAAAACCAATCCAATACCACCTCCAAACTAATTAACACTCCTCCAAACCAATCACAATACATCTCAAATCAAAAAAAAACAAACTACCAAAACATTTTTCAATTAATAATACACTCCCCCCCAAAATTAAACATTAAAAAATACAACCCCAAACCCCATATACCACATCAACTAACAATCTAATCAACAATATCATACAAACTTCCCTAAATAAAACCATAAATAATAAAAAAACCCCATCTCAACTACCCACCAATCTCCACCCCAAAAAATCCACACACCACATCCCAAAAAAACAACATCCCCCACAAATTAATCAAACCATATCTCCAAAAACTCTCCATTTCACCCTACCCCACAACAATAAAAAAAAAAAAAAATACATTCATTACCACATACACACCCAAAAAACCTACCAAACAAACAACTACAAACAATACAAAAATTCACCCAAAACTCATTACAAAAACAAAACCAACAACCTACCTCATACACCCCAATATCATTAACCATATCCTATCCCAACATTCAATAACTCCCACCTTTCTAACCCTCCCTCACATCAATCTCCACTACTCTTCAATCACCCCTCCCATTTCTTAAAACCATCTCCCATCCCCTCAATCCATAAACCCCAACAAATTCTCAAAATAACACCAAACCCACTCAAATTACCATCTAACCACCATAACATTTATTCATCATACAACACAAAAAAACCTAACACCCACTTACCCTCACCACCCTTCAAAATTAAATAAAACCCTCACAACCCACCCCATATATCCACACTTACACCCTAATTAATCTCTCACACCATCAAACTTCACTAACTCAACTCTAAACCAACAACCCCCCTAAACACACTTTCATCACATCCTCCAATACTCTCTCGCACTCTCGCTCTAGCTTCACACTCTCCAAACCCACTACACACCTCAAAACAACACTCATCTCACACCACTACATCCACCCATCCACCACACACACACAAAAAACCACAAAAACCTTACACTCACCACCAAAAAAACAAACTACCCCCCCCCAACACCCACAACCAAAAAAAACCCAATACAACCAAAAACCAAAAAAAAACCCCAACCAAACCCAAACACAACAAAAAAAAAACCACAAAACTCAAAAACCAACAAACCCACACCCCCCAAAAACTCTCTCTTCACTCTCTCCTACTCACTCACTCTCTCTCACACTCACTACTCAAAAAACAAACTAAAAACCCAAAAATAAAAACAAAAACACCACTCAAAACCACCAAATTTCTAACCCACCTTTCCCCTATATACCCTTTCCCCTAATCAAACAACCACTCTCAAAACATAAAAAATCACACCCCCAAAAAAACTCCAATATCCCACAAAAAACACAAACTTCCCCTAAAAACTTAATATACACAAATACTTCTATCATCAATTATCATTAAATTTCTAAAATAACTAAAAACTCACCAAATCAACCCTCTCAAAAAAAAAAAACACTCTACTCCCCCCCCTATCACAAACCACAACCCCAACCATATCCATCACAAAAAAAACTAAACCAATACTCCCCATTCCACCCTCAATCCAAACACCATTTAAAACAAAAAACAAACAAACCTCCAAAAACCCCATCACAAACTAATATAACCCATACAAATAATTAACAATACCCAACTCCAACTTCAATAACAAAAACATACTTTACCCTAATCAAATCCCACCATTTACAACTTAAAAACCCCCAATCCCCACCCAAAAACCAACAACATCAAAACACCACAAAAAAAAAATAAATCCACAAAAAACACATAAATCAACAAAACTAAAACTTAACACAAACCCAACCACACAAACCCAAATCAAAACCCATTATCCCCAACATATACAATCACCCACCCCAAATTCAAAACCCACCCCTAACAATAATCCATAGATATATATATATACAACAACCCACCACCCCACCCCCCCACACCCCCCCCACCCCCCCCCAACCAACCCACAACCACACACCACCCCAACCCCCACCAAAACACCACCCCCCACACCCCTATCACATACCAACCCAACACCCAACAAACCACCACCAAAACTACAAACCCCCCCCCCCAAACAAACCCACCCCACTCACACAAAAAACAAAAATACAAATAATCACACACAATAAAAACTAAATCCTAACAAAATATATAACACAAACTTAAAAAATAAACACCCCCCCCCCAACTATCAAACTAACATCCAATCAACCCTCCACCAAACCAACTTATTACCCAAAAAATATCTTTAACCACCCAATCCAACAAATCATTTTTCCCAATACTAAATACCACTACCCTTATATCATCAATCACACTAATCCACAAACACCACACAAACCACATCCTCCCCCCTAACACCACCAATACAACACAAAACCCCTACCCAACAAACCCTCACCCACAATATATAACCTACCTAAACCAAAACCCCTACAATATTCCAAACCCTTAAAAACACCCAACCCCCACCCCAACCACACACAACTCCCCCCCTCAAACCCCTCCTCCCAATTCTCTCATCTATTTTCACCCACCCCCTTCCCTCAAACCCCACACAAAAATTCTCCTAAAAAAACCTCCCCAAACTTTAATCAAAAATTCCCAACACCATATCTCTTAACCACTACACCCTACCACTTAATCCCCAACATTATCCTCATCCACCTCCACTCAAACCCATTAACCCCCCCACTAACACCAAACAAACCTCCTTCCACTTCACCCCCCCCACCCCACACCAATCAAATCCCCTTACCACATTAAAATACCCAACAACCCCAACCCCAAACATTATCCCCAATTAATTAAACCCAAAACCAATAATAACACACCAACACAAAAAAACAACATAAACCCCCCCCACACAACCACCCAAAAAAACCCCACAACCCCCCAAACCCTCAAACCCAACAATAAACACCCCCCCCAAAACAACAACCCAAAACCCTACACCACCAACAAAAAACTCCCAACACCCTTATCCTCTAAAAAAAACACCATATCCCCCCCCCCACCCAAAATCAACAATCCCACCCCCAAAATTAAAATACAAAATATCCAAACTAAATCCCCCTCCCCACAACCCCATAACAATTAAACCTGCTACTATTACTCTACCCTCCTCTATTACAAAATTAACATCAACAAACAACCACACAAAAACAACCACAACAAACCCTAAATCCCAAAAAAAATCAATCATAAACCATAACCAAAAATCCCTTCAATAACAAACACAACTCCCTAACTACCCAAAACAACAAAAACAAAACAACAATAACCCCCACCCCACTATCCACCACCACATCCCACCAAACCCTACCCCACATATATATATATATATATATAGTAGAGATAGATATAAAAAAAAACAAATCCTCTCACCTCATATCCCCCTAACTTCCAACAATCACTAAAAACCCACACCACAACCCCCCAACAAACAAAACAACAAACCCACATAACCAAACCCCAAAACACCAATACCACACCAACCTACACCACCCAACAACAACCAAAACCCCCAAAACATAAACACAACACACCCAAAACACCCCACAACACCACACCCCAACACAAACACCAAACCACCACACACACCCACACCATACAACCCCCCACCAAACAAAAACCACCACAACCCCCCACAAAAAAAAAACCAAACAAACCACACCCAACCCCCCAAAAACAACAACAAAACCAACACACAACAAAAAACAAAAAACACCCCAAAACCCCAACAAAACCACCACAACAAACCACCCCCCACCAACACCAAACCCCACCACACAAACACCAACAACCACCCCCCAACCCACACAAACCAAAACCCCAACAACACACCAACAAAACAAACCACCCCAAAAAAAAAAAACCATCACCAACACACAACCCCACCCAACACCAAAAAAAACAACCACCAAAACACCCACACAACAAACCACACCCCCCACCCAAAACCACTCACACACTATCAATCAAATCCACAAAACCCACACCCCCACCAACCCACCACACCCCATCCACCACCACACAACCACCAAACCCACCCCCAAACATCAACCCCCCCAAACACCAACAACCATAACAACCACAAACCCCCAACCCCCCCCTAACCCCCCCCCCCCCCAACCCCACCAAATACACAAAAACCCCCCCCCCAAATACAATCTCCCCCCACCATTAAACCAACCCACCCCCCACAAAAATCAAACACCACCTCCCAAAACCACCCCCCCCCCCCCCCCCCCCCCCCCCCCCCCCCCCCCCCCCCCCCCCCCCCCCCCCCCCCCCCCCCCCCCCCCCCCCCCACCCCCCCCCCCCCCCCCCCCCCCCCCCCCCCCCCCCCCCCCCCCCCCCCCCCCCCCCCCCCCCCCCCCCCCCCCCCCCCCCCCCCCCCCCCCCCCCCCCCCCCCCCCCCCCCCCCCCCCCCCCCCCCCCCCCCCCCCCCCCCCCCCCCCCCCCCCCCCCCCCCCCCCCCCCCCCCCCCCCCCCCCCCCCCCCCCCCCCCCCCCCCCCCCCCCCCCCCCCCCCCCCCCCCCCCCCCCCCCCCCCCCCCCCCCCCCCCCCCCCCCCCCCCCCCCCCCCCCCCCCCCCCCCCCCCCCCCCCCCCCCCCCCCCCCCCCCCCCCCCCCCCCCCCCCCCCCCCCCCCCCCCCCCCCCCCCCCCCCCCCCCCCCCCCCCCCCCCCCCCCCCCCCCCCCCCCCCCCCCCCCCCCCCCCCCCCCCCCCCCCCCCCCCCCCCCCCCCCCCCCCCCCCCCCCCCCCCCCCCCCCCCCCCCCCCCCCCCCCCCCCCCCCCCCCCCCCCCCCCCCCCCCCCCCCCCCCCCCACCCCCCCCCCCCCCCCCCCCCCCCCCCCCCCCCCCCCCCCCCCCCCCCCCCCCCCCCCCCCCCCCCCCCCCCCCCCCCCCCCCCCCCCCCCCCCCCCCACCCCCCCCCCCCCCCCCCCCCCCCCCCCCCCCCCCCCCCCCCCCCCCCCCCCCCCCCCCCCCCCCCCCCCCCCCCCCCCCCCCCCCCCCCCCCCCCCCCCCCCCCCCCCCCCCCCCCCCCCCCCCCCCCCCCCCCCCCCCCCCCCCCCCCCCCCCCCCCCCCCCCCCCCCCCCCCCCCCCCCCCCCCCCCCCCCCCCCCCCCCCCCCCCCCCCCCCCCCCCCCCCCCCCCCCCCCCCCCCCCCCCCCCCCCCCCCCCCCCCCCCCCCCCCCCCCCCCCCCCCCCCCCCCCCCCCCCCCCCCCCCCCCCCCCCCCCCCCCCCCCCCCCCCCCCCCCCCCCCCCCCCCCCCCCCCCCCCCCCCCCCCCCCCCCCCCCCCCCCCCCCCCCCCCCCCCCCCCCCCCCCCCCCCCCCCCCCCCCCCCCCCCCCCCCCCCCCCCCCCCCCCCCCCCCCCCCCCCCCCCCCCCCCCCCCCCCCCCCCCCCCCCCCCCCCCCCCCCCCCCCCCCCCCCCCCCCCCCCCCCCCCCCCCCCCCCCCCCCCCCCCCCCCCCCCCCCCCCCCCCCCCCCCCCCCCCCCCCCCCCCCCCCCCCCCCCCCCCCCCCCCCCCCCCCCCCCCCCCCCCCCCCCCCCCCCCCCCCCCCCCCCCCCCCCCCCCCCCCCCCCCCCCCCCCCCCCCCCCCCCCCCCCCCCCCCCCCCCCCCCCCCCCCCCCCCCCCCCCCCCCCCCCCCCCCCCCCCCCCCCCCCCCCCCCCCCCCCCCCCCCCCCCCCCCCCCCCCCCCCCCCCCCCCCCCCCCCCCCCCCCCCCCCCCCCCCCCCCCCCCCCCCCCCCCCCCCCCCCCCCCCCCCCCCCCCCCCCCCCCCCCCCCCCCCCCCCCCCCCCCCCCCCCCCCCCCCCCCCCCCCCCCCCCCCCCCCCCCCCCCCCCCCCCCCCCCCCCCCCCCCCCCCCCCCCCCCCCCCCCCCCCCCCCCCCCCCCCCCCCCCCCCCCCCCCCCCCCCCCCCCCCCCCCCCCCCCCCCCCCCCCCCCCCCCCCCCCCCCCCCCCCCCCCCCCCCCCCCCCCCCCCCCCCCCCCCCCCCCCCCCCCCCCCCCCCCCCCCCCCCCCCCCCCCCCCCCCCCCCCCCCCCCCCCCCCCCCCCCCCCCCCCCCCCCCCCCCCCCCCCCCCCCCCCCCCCCCCCCCCCCCCCCCCCCCCCCCCCCCCCCCCCCCCCCCCCCCCCCCCCCCCCCCCCCCCCCCCCCCCCCCCCCCCCCCCCCCCCCCCCCCCCCCCCCCCCCCCCCCCCCCCCCCCCCCCCCCCCCCCCCCCCCCCCCCCCCCCCCCCCCCCCCCCCCCCCCCCCCCCCCCCCCCCCCCCCCCCCCCCCCCCCCCCCCCCCCCCCCCCCCCCCCCCCCCCCCCCCCCCCCCCCCCCCCCCCCCCCCCCCCCCCCCCCCCCCCCCCCCCCCCCCCCCCCCCCCCCCCCCCCCCCCCCCCCCCCCCCCCCCCCCCCCCCCCCCCCCCCCCCCCCCCCCCCCCCCCCCCCCCCCCCCCCCCCCCCCCCCCCCCCCCCCCCCCCCCCCCCCCCCCCCCCCCCCCCCCCCCCCCCCCCCCCCCCCCCCCCCCCCCCCCCCCCCCCCCCCCCCCCCCCCCCCCCCCCCCCCCCCCCCCCCCCCCCCCCCCCCCCCCCCCCCCCCCCCCCCCCCCCCCCCCCCCCCCCCCCCCCCCCCCCCCCCCCCCCCCCCCCCCCCCCCCCCCCCCCCCCCCCCCCCCCCCCCCCCCCCCCCCCCCCCCCCCCCCCCCCCCCCCCCCCCCCCCCCCCCCCCCCCCCCCCCCCCCCCCCCCCCCCCCCCCCCCCCCCCCCCCCCCCCCCCCCCCCCCCCCCCCCCCCCCCCCCCCCCCCCCCCCCCCCCCCCCCCCCCCCCCCCCCCCCCCCCCCCCCCCCCCCCCCCCCCCCCCCCCCCCCCCCCCCCCCCCCCCCCCCCCCCCCCCCCCCCCCCCCCCCCCCCCCCCCCCCCCCCCCCCCCCCCCCCCCCCCCCCCCCCCCCCCCCCCCCCCCCCCCCCCCCCCCCCCCCCCCCCCCCCCCCCCCCCCCCCCCCCCCCCCCCCCCCCCCCCCCCCCCCCCCCCCCCCCCCCCCCCCCCCCCCCCCCCCCCCCCCCCCCCCCCCCCCCCCCCCCCCCCCCCCCCCCCCCCCCCCCCCCCCCCCCCCCCCCCCCCCCCCCCCCCCCCCCCCCCCCCCCCCCCCCCCCCCCCCCCCCCCCCCCCCCCCCCCCCCCCCCCCCCCCCCCCCCCCCCCCCCCCCCCCCCCCCCCCCCCCCCCCCCCCCCCCCCCCCCCCCCCCCCCCCCCCCCCCCCCCCCCCCCCCCCCCCCCCCCCCCCCCCCCCCCCCCCCCCCCCCCCCCCCCCCCCCCCCCCCCCCCCCCCCCCCCCCCCCCCCCCCCCCCCCCCCCCCCCCCCCCCCCCCCCCCCCCCCCCCCCCCCCCCCCCCCCCCCCCCCCCCCCCCCCCCCCCCCCCCCCCCCCCCCCCCCCCCCCCCCCCCCCCCCCCCCCCCCCCCCCCCCCCCCCCCCCCCCCCCCCCCCCCCCCCCCCCCCCCCCCCCCCCCCCCCCCCCCCCCCCCCCCCCCCCCCCCCCCCCCCCCCCCCCCCCCCCCCCCCCCCCCCCCCCCCCCCCCCCCCCCCCCCCCCCCCCCCCCCCCCCCCCCCCCCCCCCCCCCCCCCCCCCCCCCCCCCCCCCCCCCCCCCCCCCCCCCCCCCCCCCCCCCCCCCCCCCCCCCCCCCCCCCCCCCCCCCCCCCCCCCCCCCCCCCCCCCCCCCCCCCCCCCCCCCCCCCCCCCCCCCCCCCCCCCCCCCCCCCCCCCCCCCCCCCCCCCCCCCCCCCCCCCCCCCCCCCCCCCCCCCCCCCCCCCCCCCCCCCCCCCCCCCCCCCCCCCCCCCCCCCCCCCCCCCCCCCCCCCCCCCCCCCCCCCCCCCCCCCCCCCCCCCCCCCCCCCCCCCCCCCCCCCCCCCCCCCCCCCCCCCCCCCCCCCCCCCCCCCCCCCCCCCCCCCCCCCCCCCCCCCCCCCCCCCCCCCCCCCCCCCCCCCCCCCCCCCCCCCCCCCCCCCCCCCCCCCCCCCCCCCCCCCCCCCCCCCCCCCCCCCCCCCCCCCCCCCCCCCCCCCCCCCCCCCCCCCCCCCCCCCCCCCCCCCCCCCCCCCCCCCCCCCCCCCCCCCCCCCCCCCCCCCCCCCCCCCCCCCCCCCCCCCCCCCCCCCCCCCCCCCCCCCCCCCCCCCCCCCCCCCCCCCCCCCCCCCCCCCCCCCCCCCCCCCCCCCCCCCCCCCCCCCCCCCCCCCCCCCCCCCCCCCCCCCCCCCCCCCCCCCCCCCCCCCCCCCCCCCCCCCCCCCCCCCCCCCCCCCCCCCCCCCCCCCCCCCCCCCCCCCCCCCCCCCCCCCCCCCCCCCCCCCCCCCCCCCCCCCCCCCCCCCCCCCCCCCCCCCCCCCCCCCCCCCCCCCCCCCCCCCCCCCCCCCCCCCCCCCCCCCCCCCCCCCCCCCCCCCCCCCCCCCCCCCCCCCCCCCCCCCCCCCCCCCCCCCCCCCCCCCCCCCCCCCCCCCCCCCCCCCCCCCCCCCCCCCCCCCCCCCCCCCCCCCCCCCCCCCCCCCCCCCCCCCCCCCCCCCCCCCCCCCCCCCCCCCCCCCCCCCCCCCCCCCCCCCCCCCCCCCCCCCCCCCCCCCCCCCCCCCCCCCCCCCCCCCCCCCCCCCCCCCCCCCCCCCCCCCCCCCCCCCCCCCCCCCCCCCCCCCCCCCCCCCCCCCCCCCCCCCCCCCCCCCCCCCCCCCCCCCCCCCCCCCCCCCCCCCCCCCCCCCCCCCCCCCCCCCCCCCCCCCCCCCCCCCCCCCCCCCCCCCCCCCCCCCCCCCCCCCCCCCCCCCCCCCCCCCCCCCCCCCCCCCCCCCCCCCCCCCCCCCCCCCCCCCCCCCCCCCCCCCCCCCCCCCCCCCCCCCCCCCCCCCCCCCCCCCCCCCCCCCCCCCCCCCCCCCCCCCCCCCCCCCCCCCCCCCCCCCCCCCCCCCCCCCCCCCCCCCCCCCCCCCCCCCCCCCCCCCCCCCCCCCCCCCCCCCCCCCCCCCCCCCCCCCCCCCCCCCCCCCCCCCCCCCCCCCCCCCCCCCCCCCCCCCCCCCCCCCCCCCCCCCCCCCCCCCCCCCCCCCCCCCCCCCCCCCCCCCCCCCCCCCCCCCCCCCCCCCCCCCCCCCCCCCCCCCCCCCCCCCCCCCCCCCCCCCCCCCCCCCCCCCCCCCCCCCCCCCCCCCCCCCCCCCCCCCCCCCCCCCCCCCCCCCCCCCCCCCCCCCCCCCCCCCCCCCCCCCCCCCCCCCCCCCCCCCCCCCCCCCCCCCCCCCCCCCCCCCCCCCCCCCCCCCCCCCCCCCCCCCCCCCCCCCCCCCCCCCCCCCCCCCCCCCCCCCCCCCCCCCCCCCCCCCCCCCCCCCCCCCCCCCCCCCCCCCCCCCCCCCCCCCCCCCCCCCCCCCCCCCCCCCCCCCCCCCCCCCCCCCCCCCCCCCCCCCCCCCCCCCCCCCCCCCCCCCCCCCCCCCCCCCCCCCCCCCCCCCCCCCCCCCCCCCCCCCCCCCCCCCCCCCCCCCCCCCCCCCCCCCCCCCCCCCCCCCCCCCCCCCCCCCCCCCCCCCCCCCCCCCCCCCCCCCCCCCCCCCCCCCCCCCCCCCCCCCCCCCCCCCCCCCCCCCCCCCCCCCCCCCCCCCCCCCCCCCCCCCCCCCCCCCCCCCCCCCCCCCCCCCCCCCCCCCCCCCCCCCCCCCCCCCCCCCCCCCCCCCCCCCCCCCCCCCCCCCCCCCCCCCCCCCCCCCCCCCCCCCCCCCCCCCCCCCCCCCCCCCCCCCCCCCCCCCCCCCCCCCCCCCCCCCCCCCCCCCCCCCCCCCCCCCCCCCCCCCCCCCCCCCCCCCCCCCCCCCCCCCCCCCCCCCCCCCCCCCCCCCCCCCCCCCCCCCCCCCCCCCCCCCCCCCCCCCCCCCCCCCCCCCCCCCCCCCCCCCCCCCCCCCCCCCCCCCCCCCCCCCCCCCCCCCCCCCCCCCCCCCCCCCCCCCCCCCCCCCCCCCCCCCCCCCCCCCCCCCCCCCCCCCCCCCCCCCCCCCCCCCCCCCCCCCCCCCCCCCCCCCCCCCCCCCCCCCCCCCCCCCCCCCCCCCCCCCCCCCCCCCCCCCCCCCCCCCCCCCCCCCCCCCCCCCCCCCCCCCCCCCCCCCCCCCCCCCCCCCCCCCCCCCCCCCCCCCCCCCCCCCCCCCCCCCCCCCCCCCCCCCCCCCCCCCCCCCCCCCCCCCCCCCCCCCCCCCCCCCCCCCCCCCCCCCCCCCCCCCCCCCCCCCCCCCCCCCCCCCCCCCCCCCCCCCCCCCCCCCCCCCCCCCCCCCCCCCCCCCCCCCCCCCCCCCCCCCCCCCCCCCCCCCCCCCCCCCCCCCCCCCCCCCCCCCCCCCCCCCCCCCCCCCCCCCCCCCCCCCCCCCCCCCCCCCCCCCCCCCCCCCCCCCCCCCCCCCCCCCCCCCCCCCCCCCCCCCCCCCCCCCCCCCCCCCCCCCCCCCCCCCCCCCCCCCCCCCCCCCCCCCCCCCCCCCCCCCCCCCCCCCCCCCCCCCCCCCCCCCCCCCCCCCCCCCCCCCCCCCCCCCCCCCCCCCCCCCCCCCCCCCCCCCCCCCCCCCCCCCCCCCCCCCCCCCCCCCCCCCCCCCCCCCCCCCCCCCCCCCCCCCCCCCCCCCCCCCCCCCCCCCCCCCCCCCCCCCCCCCCCCCCCCCCCCCCCCCCCCCCCCCCCCCCCCCCCCCCCCCCCCCCCCCCCCCCCCCCCCCCCCCCCCCCCCCCCCCCCCCCCCCCCCCCCCCCCCCCCCCCCCCCCCCCCCCCCCCCCCCCCCCCCCCCCCCCCCCCCCCCCCCCCCCCCCCCCCCCCCCCCCCCCCCCCCCCCCCCCCCCCCCCCCCCCCCCCCCCCCCCCCCCCCCCCCCCCCCCCCCCCCCCCCCCCCCCCCCCCCCCCCCCCCCCCCCCCCCCCCCCCCCCCCCCCCCCCCCCCCCCCCCCCCCCCCCCCCCCCCCCCCCCCCCCCCCCCCCCCCCCCCCCCCCCCCCCCCCCCCCCCCCCCCCCCCCCCCCCCCCCCCCCCCCCCCCCCCCCCCCCCCCCCCCCCCCCCCCCCCCCCCCCCCCCCCCCCCCCCCCCCCCCCCCCCCCCCCCCCCCCCCCCCCCCCCCCCCCCCCCCCCCCCCCCCCCCCCCCCCCCCCCCCCCCCCCCCCCCCCCCCCCCCCCCCCCCCCCCCCCCCCCCCCCCCCCCCCCCCCCCCCCCCCCCCCCCCCCCCCCCCCCCCCCCCCCCCCCCCCCCCCCCCCCCCCCCCCCCCCCCCCCCCCCCCCCCCCCCCCCCCCCCCCCCCCCCCCCCCCCCCCCCCCCCCCCCCCCCCCCCCCCCCCCCCCCCCCCCCCCCCCCCCCCCCCCCCCCCCCCCCCCCCCCCCCCCCCCCCCCCCCCCCCCCCCCCCCCCCCCCCCCCCCCCCCCCCCCCCCCCCCCCCCCCCCCCCCCCCCCCCCCCCCCCCCCCCCCCCCCCCCCCCCCCCCCCCCCCCCCCCCCCCCCCCCCCCCCCCCCCCCCCCCCCCCCCCCCCCCCCCCCCCCCCCCCCCCCCCCCCCCCCCCCCCCCCCCCCCCCCCCCCCCCCCCCCCCCCCCCCCCCCCCCCCCCCCCCCCCCCCCCCCCCCCCCCCCCCCCCCCCCCCCCCCCCCCCCCCCCCCCCCCCCCCCCCCCCCCCCCCCCCCCCCCCCCCCCCCCCCC